GCTACAAAGCTTTATAGAGCATTATAGAGTTGTTGGGGACTCTGACACCAAAGAAGTGTAGACTTAAGAGCTGTAGTAAAAGACTTCACACCACTGCTGCCCACTACTCAAAAAGGCAAAGATATAAGTACAAAAAAAAAAAAAAAAAAAAAAAAAAGAAAAATTCAAGCTCAGATTAACAAAGCTGTTTGCTATTATGGACAAAAGCTGCAGGGAAAAAAAAAATGAAGAGGAAATGGGCTGTATTACTGTGAGTTGGCACAGAAACGAAATACCAGCCTGCAATTTATGTATAGTAATTGTTCACGAAGCATTCTTTGGGTTTTGATAGTGACTCATTGTGTTCTTTGTGACCTTTGATGTACAGGATGGGCTGCTAGAAGACAGAGGAAGCCACGGTAAGAATATAAAACTTTATTAACTTAAGATTTTGTTGGTTTGTTTGCTTTTTTTTAAATTATTGCTCATTGGTAGGTATTATCTCTGGAAAAGTCTACCAGAGGCATTTTACCTTGAGTCCTCATGGGTTTTGCCATGTCTCCCAGGCTTTTGTAGTTGAACAAACAGTTGAAAAATAGCTTTGGTTTTAAAAAGGAAATTTGTTAAACAATTGGTTGCTGACGTTGATTACTGACTTCTGAAAAATAAGATAACTGATTGCAATACTATTGTGTTTATAGCCCAGGTAATGAGCAGTTGAAGCCCTGCACTACACAGGACAAACAGAAAAGTTATCAAGAAGACATTCTTCTGAGTGAATATTTTAGATTTTAAAGAAAATTATGGAAAAAAGCTTCCACGGAGTCATCAGGGTAGACACAACAGACTCTTCAGGGCCGTTAAGTTCCATTATGTAAATCCACAGTGATGTAAGCCAGACACTGTCAAGTTTGATACGCCCCAAATTTGACCTAATTAGCCATTTGGTTGTTACTTTTTTCAAAGCTTGTGCAACTCGGCTCAGTTCAGGATATAGATGCTAATTGAACACATAACCTACAGGTGCTAAAGAATTCTTACAAAGGAAAGCCTATCCTATTAGGAATGCAAGTCAAGGCTCGGGGTCATCTGCTCGGGTGGTGGGGAAGGAGAAAGAAATCCTGTCTGTGGCTCTCTTCACATCACCATGTTATTTCCAGGAGCGAAATTCAAATTCAGAATAAAGCAATGCAATCTAAGAGATATTTGCCAACTGAAGTCGCTCCAGCTTCAGGAAAAGAACATCTCTTTGAGCTTTTAGAAAGCTGAGACTATAAGATGCAAAGCCTGAAGTGGTTTATTCTACCCTCAGTAACAAGCACGCTCCTGTACCAGTCACAGTTGAAATTTTCTGTCGCTCACAGGCCCACCAACTGATTTCTAGATACTTGCTGCCGTGTTCCAGATTTGCCTTTCACCTTTCCCATCTCTGCCTGTGTGCCCCTAGCCTAAGATCATCACCTTTACACTCAGCTCTTCTTCCCGCCCATTTTCCAGGCAGGAATACAATAACCTTTTGTCATGACTACACCTTGGCCCAGATGCTGCAGTGTAAACACTCTATCTCTTCTGCTGCTTCCCCACAATCCTCTAACCAAAATGAAACGAGATAAAAAGAGCTGCACAGCCTCTGAGTTTCCTGGCTTTTATCTTTTTATACCAAAGCCTTTGTGTTAATTTTGCATAGCTATTTTTACATGAGGAATAATATCCTGAATTACTGCTGTCACGTGCATTAAGAATCCCACCTCACCATCCTCAAGTCATCTGGCAACCTGATAGTGTTTCCTGCTCCTTCCTTCACATCAGCGCTGCAAAGAGCTTTGCTAAAAGTTTCACATCTGAAAAAGCAGATGATTTGGCAACACCTTCCTATAGATTTAAAAAAAAAAAGAGAAAAAAAGAAATGTGCCTGTCTTTGAGTAAACTTTTCTTTCCAACTGTTCTTTTTTGTCAGCCTGCCAGCTCGACTTCTAGTATTGTTCTGCAGAGATTGCTGCAAGGAAAAATTAAAGAGAAGAGAAAGGTAGAGAACTGGGGGAAAGGGAAAAAGGGTTCAAAGGGCATTTAAAGCCTGGGGAGCCTAACATGGAACGGGAGATAGGCTTAGGAAACAGGGAATAAAATGGTGGAATGAGAGATAAAACAAGAACATAAAGGATAAGGGATTAGAGAGATAAGGAGTTCAAGAGATGAAATGTGAATAAAGGAAAACAAGAAAAATAAGGATGAAAGGAAAGAAGTGACAGGAGTAAGACATGTAAACAATTAACTAAGAAAATATTCTGTTTATTTTGGTGAAAGAAAATTATATCATCTTTATTATTCTCTGGTTTACTAGTTCAGAGGAATTTTTCAAACTAAGAGCTGACACTTGGGTAGTATTACTGAACAATGATAAATATAAGCCTTCCAGTTGCTGAATTAACCCATTCTGAATTTGTTTAATTAATATGACATTCAGACAGCTAAAATTTGGATAAGAAAAGCAATAAACATATTAACAACTGCAATACAAAGTGCAGATCTGGAAGAACTCTTCCCAGTATTTGCAGTTACATCCATCAGCTCAGTAAAAATCACTCCAGCACAGAGTGACATGCTGCTTCAGATTAATAGCAGAGCTGAATAGAGCAAAAATACTTAAAACCAGTGCTGGGTTCAAGTTTCAGCATTGCCCACTGACCAGCAGAAAATTGCTCAAGATCAACATTTGTCTGTAAAAGTATTTCACAATATTTTTCCCCATCAGGATATTTATTATAAAGTGTTATCAGGTCTCAGTTTCTGCCTGAGCTCTTCACACAGGTCACGTAATGTGGTGGAACCTTGAAAACATTGCTTGTTTTCCCTGAATGTCTGAGGATGTATCGTCAGGAAGCTGAAATTTTATCAAATCTACACTGATTTTTTTGTTGTTTTTTTTTTTTTATTTCTCAGAAAGGCTACATATACTCACATACTTAAAATCTAAAGGCAGCATTAAAAAAATCAACATTTTTTCATTAGTTTTTGTGCTTACCTCTGACAAGAAGTCCCCAAGCATCTTATTAGCTAATTTAGCCATCATCCTTCCCTTTCCATTACCCTTAAACTTGCATAAAATAGATCTATAAGAAAGATATTCCTTGAGGTCAGTTACTTGGCTTATAAACCCTAGAGTCTGGAAAAGGGGGGGAAAAAAAGGTGTCCTTTTCCTGCCTGTGAAGCTCCAAAGGTTTCTGAGCAGGTCTCAGGCTGTTGTGAAGGTTTTTGAAGACACAGTCAAGGTGTTGCATATCCCTTTTCCTCATATTTGATGGGACAATCCCCCAACAGGATTTATTCCTCCAGAGCATCCACAGAGAAGAGACAATGAAGTCTCTAACAAGTGTTGGTCCCAGTTCTGGTGCCATCCAGCCCTGTTAATTCTGTCAGAGGGAGAGGAAGATTTAGATATTTGTTTCAGTATAAATCATGAGTTAGTCACTGGAAAACTGGATTTGCTTAAAAGCAGAAAAACCACATTAAAACGACCCTAAAATGTTCCAACCTTAAACTAACCCTAACTAAGCAGCATAAAGCACCAAATAATCACAGTAAGTAGTTGTGTCTTTACAGAAGAACCCAAGCCCTAGGTCCTCTCCTGAAGTACTTGAGGTGCTACAATAAGAAACCACCAGTAACAAACAGCAATTTAAACATTACATTCTGTGAAGTCTTGGCTTGCCAAATGCCTGAATGAAAAAGGATGTGAAAGATGGTCTCCTACATTCTAATTCAACCCAGAATCTCGGATTATCTGTTAAAAATAGGACATTTTCTCTTCTCTAATAATAATAATTTTCCATAGACAGCTGTTGATGTGCCCATAGGTTCACAATAGCTCTTTTTGCAGTGGGTTGTAATAACAATTTCTTCAACTCTGTCTTTGAATTCAGAGCTGTACAAGCTATTCACAGCGAACACTCTAATCAGTGAATTTCAGCTTTTATTCTGCCCGTAGATTGTTGCAAATGCTACACACAGACATTTGATATAAATAAACTTTGCCCCGGCAGTTGGTTCACAACATGTTTTCGCTGCAGAGTTTCAATATCCATTATTACCATTGCACAACTCTCACCTTGGCTGAGCAGTGCTGTTTGTTCTGGGCAAAACCAGTCACCAAGAGGAAATCCGTGCCATGGGGCTGTGATGGTCCGATGGATAAGGTGTGCATGGTTAAGTTAGGAGGAGCAAGATCACAAGGCTAAAGAGGTTTTCAGGACTATTTTAATATTTCCTTTCCAGTTCCCTTGACTCAGACCTTGCTTGTAACATCACTGTGAGAACAAAGAGGCCACTTGAACGTTATAGACTGAGGTCAAATTGAAAATTAATGATCTCTTATCACATTCAGACAAAGCTCCAGCTGCAAAGGGTGGGGTTGGGTGCTTTTCTGGTGTATTTAATTGCCACTGAATCAGGGCTCTGAACAGGGCTTGCCTAGTCAGAGCTGCAAAAGATGAGCTCACATGGCATTTTCCAAGCCCCTCAGCTGTGCCCACACCAGAGCCTGGCCTGGCAATCCTTTACATGGCTGGTATCTTCGGTGAGAGCAAACGGAGTGCAAGTTTAATATCTTAATGAAACAAATGTCAGGCATTTGTTTTATATGAATAAAACATCTTTGGCATAAACCACGGTGAAAAACAAATTCCAAAAAGGTTGTAAATCAGAATTCAGCTTTCAGTGCGCTAAAATGTGTGTGTGAAAAATTATGCTGAGGAGCCAGCTCTATCTAAACTAAATCGTTTGGCAATGCCCTGTCAGCGCAGGAGAAAATGGATGTAATGTGCACATATGCACAAGGAGTGACTCACAATGATGTACAAGTGTTACTGTATCTACTCCAAAAGAAATACCTGGAAGTCAGGAAATATGGCTCCACGGTTCAGCAGATTTGTCTGAGGATAGATGTTCTGGTTTTGAAACTCTGGTTTTTCCCCAGAGTGCTGTAAAGATGTCTCATGCAAACAAATACAGTCTGGGTCAACCGATATCTCCGGGACTATTGCACAAACTATAGTTTTATTTGGTATTTATGGGAGAAGAGTTCCAGGAGAAAAACGTGCCTTGCTGGCAGCTTAAGGACTGAACAGTAGATTGATATCTGTAGGTCCCGAAGCAAGACCTGTAGCCTAAACACACACACATTAATCTATATGTAAGCCCAGGCAGTTCCTTAAGTAGTCACGACAGTTTAATTGCCTATGAATATTCATATAAATGAGTTTTGTTTGGAAGAAGGGCAGCAATCTCGACTACTTGTACCAATCTGTATTCAAGCGGAGAAATCATCTGAAGTCTCCAGTTTCCTGTTTATAAGAGTTTGGGCTGCCCAGACAAAACACAGCAGCAGGAACAATAGCACAGGGCTTGGATGACTCTTACAGCACCTCTGTGACCGGGAAGGTAACATCACTTCAAGATAAAATCATAGTGTTGGAGCTGGAAACCTCAAAATGATCTAGTGTGTGTTTGTGAAGTCGGTGCTCAAATGCACAATGAAATGGCACCGTAGAGTCTTAAATGGTTTGGAATGGAAAAGACCTTTAGAGGCTCTCTAGTCCAACTCCCTGCCATGGGCAGGGACACCTTGCACTATCCCAGGTTGCTCCAAGCCCCATCCAACACGGCCTGGAACACTTCCAGGGATGGGGCAGCCACAGCTTCTCTGGGTAACCTGTGCCAGTGCCTCAGGATCCTCACAGCCAAGAATTTCTTCTTAATATCTACCTGAATCTACCCTCTTTAATTTAAAGCTGTTATCCTTTTGGCTGTCACTACAAATCCTATTAAAAAGTCTGCTCTCATCTTTCTTATAAGCCCCTTTGAGCACTGAAGGGCCACACCTTTACCTATCCCATACACCCTACTCTATTTTGCTGTTAGCATACATAAATTGAAACACATCCTTGGGTCAGCTACTGTTAGTCTGTTGGTCCTTGAAGGGGTTTGCTGGCATAGCCTGCCCTTTGGAAACCGTCCAGAAGGGAAGAACATATTTTTCCATAGACGGTGTCGGGTCCTTGCATTCATTTGCTGGAAAGAAGTCCAGCTCTGTCAGGTGCAGTGATTGAGGCTTCTTGGAAAACTCCGATGAGGAGGCTTGCGATGAGAAGACAGAGAAATGATGGAGGACCTTGCCAGAATAGCAGGTCAGATATAGCTCTCTTGGTCACCATGGTGAAGAGGGATTCAGCTCAAACAGAGCAGCAGACTGTCTCTTGCTCACTAGACTGTGATGCTCTAGTTCATCCTACTGAAGGGCATCTGTGAGACAGTGCTGAGCACCACTCAGGAGCTATTACGTAGTAGGCTGCAGTGTTGACAAACGTTTTCAATTTTTTTCTAAAGTGCCATTTATATCTGACTTTCCCATGTTCTTCCCTGCTGCTACCCCAGTGTAAACAGCGCGGGGTCGTACAGGAACCACTTTCCCTCTTTCCAAAATCGT